CTTTTTGTCATTTTGCTCTCAGTTCACCCTTAAGAAGCCACTCTGCTTGCCAAACGGGATTCTATTCAAATTACTCAGGTCGTTGCTGTAGCTACCATTCCTCAAAGTCCACTACAGACCGGCCCAGTCCTCACAGGCACACAGAAGTGTGTGTGCGTGCTTTCTGTGTGTGTGTGTGTCTGTGCCTCTCGCATGGTAACAGCTCTTCCTGGCTGAGGCTCTCTTCCCTTCCTCTCTCTCTCGCTCTCTCTCCGTCTCCGACTCCCGCTGGCTTTGGATGTTGTTTACCACCCACACAGGACCATACTAGGAGCAGCACAGAGAATCTGAATGGAACAACGGGTTGGTAACTGCTCTGTCTCCATTATTACTGTCTACAACTGTAGCCTCTCTGTCTGTTTGTCTATCGGTCTGATGGGTTAGTAGTCTCTCATTAGCCTGTCAAGTTTTTCTACCAACGTCTTTTAAGAAATAAGGAGTCGGGGACGTCTGTCAGTTAGGTTGTGTTGATCTTGTTGGTTTAAGTGACAATTTTGCCCTTGGCAGTCAAGGCTTCGGATGTGTGTAATGTATTTGCACCTGTTGTGTCTGAAGGAAAACAGTCGGTTGGACCTTTTAGACTGTGTTGATTGATCGAATGACAATTTGGACCTTAGATTTGTGGCCAAATTTAGATAAAGGATGGTTAGGCCTATTTGTTCTCATATTACTGTTAACAAGAGATTTGGGCTGCCGACTGTATGACATATTTTCAATCAGTAAGATGGTCAAACTAATGTAGCGTTAGAGATAAAAGAAGAGTAACAACAGTTGAGTTGTGTATACCTTGAGAAAGCCTCGTCCCTTCTCACCTGTTGATCCAGTCTCTAGCTACCAGACTGACTGTAGCGTTATCCTCTGGGTCATACTGTGCTCTTTGTCATCGCTCTAAATAGACATATGAGTGAGCGAGTAGTTAGTGTGAGATAACGTATTGTATATCTATGGTGCATATGGCATGATATGGTGCCATGTCTCTCACACTTACGTAATCCTTAATGAGAGGTAGATAGAGTGGGAGTGACTTGACCTGAGAGACGGCAGCAGCCAATCAGATGCCTCACACGGGGAACGGGGGGAGAGCAAGGTCTCATATGTTCAGATATGGGTAGGTCTCTGCTGTTGTCTGTTCCTGATGGATCTGTCTGCTGATGGACTTGGAGTTACACTAACAGCCTAGGGCACTTCCAAAGGTCAAGGATGGGGTCAGCAGTGGGAGGTCATAGTTGCTCCTCAAGCATTTGATCTAATTACTGGTCAATGTCTGCTTTCTTAAGCCATAGGCCTACTTCAACCCTCCTCACCCCTTAGTTCTAGCATAGATAGGCAAAACCATAACCATCAATTCATTTGACACATGATGAATGATTTAATGTGTCATAAAAGTTGCCTAAACACTTTCTTGTGTGAGGTGACTAGTGTTGCTGAAACGTCGGTACTTTTTCGATACTAGAATATGCAAAACGGTTTGGTACTAGGATTTTTGTTACTTTTGGTACTTCTGTCAAGTGTCTCACGTCGTCTACTGATTGAGCGTACCGTGCATGCTCCACTTAGTCATTGCTATCTCTAGCCTATCCTGAGGAACCACTGCTCTCACTGGGGGGATGGGCTGTATCAACACTTATGCTACACCAGAAGTTAACACACTTGAATAATGCAACATGGCATGTACAATTTTTAATTACTGTCCATTACAGGCTACAACTCTTTACAATGCAAGGAGATACCGGTAGCTTTCTGCTTTGTGGGCTAACTTTCCGTGCTAGCTTACAGCTGAAGCTAACATCAATTCACTACCCTAGTACTGTGTTTGTGATAATATGCAAACCTCTCCCAGTCAAGATCACCTTTGCTCAAACCGAATGGACTCTGTATGTGAATGACATAATGGGTCTTAAAGAGACTTTTATAAAATAAGAGATTGCTTCATCTATGCAAATGTTGTGGATCAGTGTTGTGACTTTGGGCTAATTAATATTCAAGATAATTTACTGATTAATTACTGGAATAATTAATTGATCTGATTGGTTTGATTAATTTGGTTATCCTATCCAAATTAATCTGAGGGGCACCATTTAAGGTTTGGATATAGAGAAACCCTTGAATTAGCTATCAGTAGTTCTCATTAACCGTTAGTGTTAATACTATCAACAATATACAGTGCATTCGGAAAGTTTTCAGACCCCTTGACTTTTTCCACATTTTGTTATGTTACAGTCTTATTCTAAAATGGATTTAATAAAATGTTTTCCTTATCAATCTACACACAATATGCCATAATGACAAAGCGAAAACAGGTTTTTAGAAATGTTTTTACATAAGTATTCAGACCCTTTGCTATGAGACTCAAAATTGAGCTCAGGTCCATCCTGTTTCCATTGATCATCCTTGAGATGTTTCTACAACTTGATTGGAGTCCACCTGTGGTAAATTCATTTGATTGGACATGATTTGGAAAGGCACACACCTGTCTATATAAGGTCACAGAGTTGACAGTGCATGCCAGAGCAAAAACCAAGCCATGAGGTCGAAGGAATTGTCCGTAGAGCTCCCAGACAGGATTGTGTCGAGGCACAGATCTGAGGAAGGGTACCAAAACATTTCTGCAGCATTGAAGGTCCCCAAGAACACAGTGGCCTACATCATTCTTAAATGGAAGAAGTTTGGAACCACCAAGACTCTTCCTAAAGCTGGCCGCCCGGCCAAACTGAGCAATCGGGGGAGAAGGGTCTTGGTCAGGGAGGTGACTGGTCACTCTGACATAGCTCCAGAGTTTCTCTTCCAGAAGGACAACCATCTCTGCAGCACTCCACCAATCAGGCCATTATGGTAGAGTGGCCAGACGGAAGCCACTCCTCAGTAAAAGGCACATGACAGCCCGCTTGACTCTCAGACCATGAGAAACAAGATTCTCTGGTCTGATGAAACCAAGATCGAACTCTTTGGTCTGAATGCCAAGTGTCACATCTGGAGGAAACCTGGCACCATCCCTACGGTGAAGCATGGTGGGGGCAGCATCATGCTGTGGGGATGTTTTTCAGTGGCAGGGACTGGGAGTCTATAATAATATAATAATAATATAATAATATGCCTTTTAGCAGACGCTTTTATCCAAAGCGACTTACAGTCATGCGTGCATACATTTTTTGTGTATGGGTGGTCCCGGGGATCGAACCCACTACCTTGGCGTTACAAGCGCTGTGCTCTACCAGCTGAGCTACAGAGGGAAAGATGAACGGAGCAAAGTACAGAGAGATCCTTGATGAAAACCTGCTCCAGAGCGCTCAGGACCTCAGACTGGGGCGAAGGTTCACCTTCCAACAGGACAATGACCCTAAGCACACAGCCAAGACAACGCAGGAGTGGCTTCGGGACAAGTCTCTGAATGTCCTTGAGTGGCCCAGCCAGAGCCCGGACTTGAACCCGATCGAATTAGCGAAATAATTTAATCAATTTTAGAATAAGGCTGTACCGTAACAAAATGTGGAAAAAGTCAAGGGGTCTGTGTACTTTCCGAATGCACTGTATGTGTTGCCGCCCTAGGGTCATGAGATGCTCAGAAAGCATATTTAGAACATTTATTATTGAAAAACATAAAATACTGTCATACCGTCAGAAATGTGAAAAATATCGCCCAGCCCTAGCATCCGGTGTGCACAATGCAGAGACAGTATTGATCATAAGTTTGTAAATTAGACCAGCTGTCTTACAACACTCAATGAAAACCACCACTTTACACACACACAGGGGGACTTTCAGAGGAAATTAATAATGCAATGGGGCAATTTACTTGTATTTTGATTTTGCCAGTTGGATTCCACTAGGATTGGAGGAAGCCTGGATGAATTGCGAGGAAAAAGCTGTGTTGTCCCCGTCTCTCTCGCTCTCTTTCAGTTCTACGTTCTTAGTCCAGGAAGGAAAAGTCTGTTTGAGTTATTTTAGTTCTTTCTCCAATCCCAGCCGGGATGTAATCTACTTTTCTCTCTGCATTGTTGGGAAGGGCCTGTAAATAAGCATTTCACTGTTAGTCTTCAACTGTTTACGAAGCATGTGACAAATAAAATTGGATTTGATTTGGTGTACTGTAGCATTCATGCACAGGAAAATGCAAGTTGATAACGCTTATTGTGTATGTAGGTGATATTTTGGTATGACCACTCCCCTACTGTAGGAGCTAGTTTCTCTTATACGGGTGTAACCCTATTATAGATCTTTTGTATTTTAAGGTAGACAGGTGTGTCTCCTCCTAGCTTATCGATAGTGGTACAGTCCAAAGTTCACCAATGAGTGTGTTTGAGGCGTTCCTGGTACTGGGTAAGTAAGGACAAAAAGAGAGAACAGTCAGTCAGTCACCCTAGTCCTACACCCAGATCACCACCCAGAAAAACCTCCCAGACCACAGGCTAGGTCTGAATAGAGAGACTAACATACAGCAGAACAGCAGGTAAGGATAACACGCACAGAGAGAATGTTCAGGCCAACACCAGACCGACCGACAGACTGACTGACAAAGAGCCACAGCAAATGGCTGCCATTTTGCTCCTGTGTTTGTTTATGTAATAGGAGCATTGTTTGTTTGGGCTCAGTGGACCATGCAGGCCACCTCTCACTGGGTCCACTCCAAACCAGAAACCACAGCTACTAGACTAGAGAGACAGCAAGGAGAAGAGTTCATATAGCCTACTGGTAGATGAGTGAATTAGTGTGTTGTTGTGAAATTAATAGGAGTTTTATGGACAGATTGCCTAGTTGTATTACTGTTGTTGATGTGTGATTTGTTAATGGTGGCCTGTCATGGTCTGGGTCATATTCATTAGACACCAAACGGAAGAAAACGGACTGAAACAGGGAGGGACTACCTGGACTTGTCCAATAAGAACTGCTCCGTTGCAAAACGTTTTGCTACAGTGTGCATTAATGAATACAACCCTGACCTGATTGTCTCTGTCCAGCAGGTTTGCTGTGTGAGCTGCTGCCTGTCCTGACGTGGTGGTGGAGGAGGAAGTTGCCGTGCCAGTGACCAGTGAGGCTCACTAGTGGGACCATGTTTTAGAGGCTCACCTCCCCCTCCGCTAGCACCTGGAGGTTCGACTTTGACCCTGTACAATGAACAACGATGACAAGTTCTACGACGCCGTCACAGGTGGGTGTCCCTGTCTGCACTGGGGGGGGGGGGGGGGGTAATTTAGCTTGTCTGGTAGGCTCGTGTCACTGGGCAACTCGCAGCTTTGCTTCCCTTTTGTAGTCTGTAATAGTTTGCAAGCCCTGCCACATCCGACGAGCGTCGGAGCCAGTGTAGTACGATTCGATCTTAGTCCTGTATTGACACTTTGCCTGTTTGATGGTTCGTCGGAGGGCATAGCGGGATTTCTTTAAAGATTCTGGGTTAGAGTCCCACTCCTTGAAAGCGGCAGCTCTACCCTTTAGCTCAGTGCGGATGTTGCATGTAATCCATGGCTTCTGGTTGGGGTATGTACGTACAGTCACTGTGGGGACGACGTCATCGATGCACTTATTGATGAAGCCAGTGACTGATGTGGTGTACTCCTCAATGCCATCGGAAGAATCCTGGAACATATTCCAGTCTGTGCTAGCAAAACAGTCATGTAGCTTAGCATCTGCTTCATCTGACTACTTTTTTTATTGACCGAGTCACTGGTGCTTCCTGCTTTAGTTTTTGCTTGTAAGCAGGAATCAGGAGGATAGAATTATGGTCAGATTTTCCAAATGGAGGGAGAGGGAGAGCTTTGTCTGTGTCTCTGTGTGTGGAGTAAAGGTGGTCTAGAGTATTTTTCCCTCTGGTTGCACATTTAACATGCTGGTAGAAATTAGGTAAAACTGATTTAAGTTTCCCTGCATTAAAGTCCCTGGCCACTAGGAGCGCCGCCTCTGGATGAGCGTTTTCCTGTTTGCTTATGGCCGTATACAGTTCATTGAGTGAGGTCTTAGTGCTAGCATCGGTTTGTGGTGGTAAATAGACAGCTACGAAAAATATAGATGAAAATTCTCTTGGTAGATAGTGTGGTCTACAGCTTATCATGAGATACTCTACCTCAGGCGAGCAAAACCTTACATATCGTGCACCAGCTGTTGTTTACAAATATACATAGACCGCCACCCCTTGTCTTACCAGAGGCTGCTGTTCTATCCTGCAGATACAGTGTATAACCCGCCAGCTGTATGTTATTCATGTCATCGTTCAGCCACGACTCGGTGAAACATAAGAAATTACAGTTTTGAATGTCCCGTTGGTAGGATATTCGTGCCTGTAGTTCGTCCATTTTATTATCAAGCGATTGTAAGTTGCCCAATAGTATCGATGGCAAAGGCAGATTAGCCACTCGACGCCGGCTCCTTACCAATCACCCCGATCTCCTTCCGCGATATCTCCTTTTCTTTCTAATGTGAATGACGGGGATGAGGGCCCTGTCGGGTGTCTGGGGCAAATCCCTCTCGTCCAACTCATAAAATAAAAAATCTTTGTCCAGTTCAAGGTGCGTAATCGCTGTTCTGATGTCCAGAAGCTCTTTTCGGTCATAAGAGACGGTAGCAGCAACATTATGTACAAAATAAGTTAAAAACAATGCGAAAAAACACACAAAATAGCACAGTCGGTTAAGAGTCCATAAAACGGCAACCATCCCCTCCGGCGCCATTACTCCAGTTTCACACAGTGTCATCAGGTTATTGTTTATGGCTATCATATTTCTTTGGGTGTTCCGGGTTGACCAGGCTAATTATTTATTAGTTAATTATTTATAACACATTTTATTAGGGCTCTACACCTTACTCTCTTCCACCCCTACAATGCTTAGTTCAGAGTCAGACAGTGTATGTTATGTCACAATTTGTATCACGTCATAGTGCATTAGTTCTGTGGCTCCCGCCCATGTAGAGTCATTCCTTTCACCTGTAGCCTAGTTGTGAGACTGTCAAATGTCAGACTGTTTACTTTGTTATTATACAGTGCATTCGGAAGGTATTCAGACCTTCACTTTTTCCACATTTGGTTACGTTACAGCTTTATTCTAAAATGGATTAAATACAAATGTTTCCTCATCGATCTAAAATGCTGCCACCACCATGCTTCACTGTAGGGATGGTGCCAGATTTCCTTCAGACGTGACGCTTGGCGTTCAGGCTAAAGAGTTAAATCTTAGTTTCATCAGACCAGAGAATCTTGTTTCTCATGGTCCGAGAGTCCTTTAGGTTCCTTTTGGCAACCTTTAAGCGGGCTGTCATGTGCCTTTTACTGAGGAGTGGCTTCCATCTGGCCACTCTACCATAAAGGCCTGATTTTTGGAGTGCTGCAGAGATGGTTGTCCTTCTGGAAGGTTCTCCCATCTCCACAAAGGAACTCTGGAGCTCTGTCAGAGTGACCATCGGGTTCTTGGTCACCTATTTAAATCTATTTAATCCATTTTAGAATAAGGCTGTAACGTAACAAAATGTGGAATAAATCAAGGCATCTGAATGCTTTCCGAATGCGCTGTACATGTTATTCAATAATTTCATCCAAACTGCTCGCACACATCAACAAGCTTCTGCGTAGCCAGGCGCTAAAATATAACTTGGTTCTATTTTTGACGCTTGATGCACTGCAAGTCCCGCCTCTCCCATCCCTTATTAGTTTTTAGGAGCATAAACCCACGTGGGTGATTGAAAGACGAACTGAGGTCCACACTCCAGTCCAGTTGGTGGTGGTAATGCACCTTAAAGTTGGTTGCCAACTGCCATATAAAGTCAGAAGAAGAAGAAATTACTAGAAACTAACTAGGTTTCCCCTTTTTATCTGTGGATTAATTGTCGGAGTAGAGAACACACGATTTTGTGTGACTGAAAATGGTGTCACTGAAAATTCAACAAAGATCCAGAAAAAAAGGACCTTGTGCATTTCAGGTAAAATAACAACCCAATGTTTATATCCCAGGACAAATTAGTTAGTGTCAAAGTTGCGTCAATTCAAATCTGGCATTAGGAACAAAAGAGGTCAACACAACTTCTAAGATATACTAGTTATTTTAATTAATGCAAAAACCTTCAATGGTAAATATGATGTTTCGTCTATACGGGCTCCCCGAAATACCTCGCAGGGCATTCAGAGAACTAATCCATTGTTTTAAATTCTTCCTCAAATACTCTTACAGAGAGAGTTTCCCACCTCTCTGCTGGCCAATCAGAGTAGAGACTTAAGCGTGGTTTAGACTTACTCAGCCTATCCGTTGGCGCACAGGCTAGTCCCCCGCCTCTTAGCGCATCCCTGTTTCCAGGCATACGTTTATCATAACAACCTGTCATAATGAGAAGAGCCAGCTCCCCTAGACACCATTCCTACGTCCAAGGAAGGTTCACAGATCACAAAGAACCAGTATAGTCTAGTATTTGGAGACACAAATCCTTATCTCATTTTACCCCCTAAAACAGCTCTTCACATCAATCACAGCTTGCCAGGTGACACAACCTACATTAGCCCAGTCAAGCATGCATTCTTTCTAAGTTAGTCATCCCATCGATTATAAAAATAATAAATCCCCCATATTAGCAACTAGCTAAATGGCCATGAATGTTTCATGTGTTTCGACCTGTCCCCAAATGAATATAGTTGGTTCAGAGTTCGTTTTGATATTTCAACCTGCGTGTCCTGATCGCGTCTGGTGTGGATGGACAAAATCAACATGCGCGCGATGGCGCTTGTGCCCGGTCTAGTCAGCATGTCACTATAAGGTGCTTTTTTGAACTCTCCTAGCAAGCACACTCATAGTTTTTTGTTTGGAACACAGCCCTCCGTCCCTACCGGCATACAATTACTGTTGTTTACGCAATCCAAAAACATTCCATTTATAAATTGCAATCTGGGTCAGGTGGGCATCATTTGAAATCTTATTCGATTGCCAACATGGCTAGCGATGTTATAAAATATGATCTTACAGTGCACTTCAGACAGATTGTAATTTTGGGACGCATAGAATGTAGTCGTGTTCCGTGGCAAATTTTCTTCACGATACAACAAACGGGCTCATTCTATTCAGGACAACCAAGGTTATAACGCATGCCATCCTTGTAACTGGATAAAACATAGCGATCATAAACGTTTATACTGTAAATGACGTGAGTTTTCAAATATGGAAATGTGAAGTGCACATTTGGGACTTATGGGTGAGTGGGTTGCTTGTATAACATCAAAGCTGTGTTTATTATAATCCTCAATGTGTCATCTTTCAGAACACATCGTCTCCCCTCGATTTACAGCATTTCCCTCACTCAGATTACAAATTTGCAAAAGTAGCCCAATTAGCGGGAGGGATGGGGTCATCTCGGTCGCGTGCTGTGCTCAAGTTTAGAGCGTCTGTCAGTCAAAACCCATACAGAACTGTGAAGCAGAGAACCTGAGCTCTGACGTCATGTATAGCATGTTACTGTATAGCCACTGCGTTCCAATTTAGGCGTTTATCAATGAAAAAATCTGCAATTTTCAACCTGTGTACGGGATGACCAGGATGTGAGTGGAAAGTCTACCAAACACGTAATCAGATGGTTATCGTCTACAACAGGGGTGTCAAACGTCCGGCCCACGGGCCGGATCAGGCCCGCAAACGGGTTTAATCCGGCCCGTGAGATGATAAAAAAAAAATAATAATAATAATAATAATTGTAAAGTATAAAAATGCGCTGCAATTTTTCAATAAAATAAACTGCTGTTCCAATTGCGTCCACTGGATGGCGCAATAGCAATTGTGTTAAGCAAGCAAACTGTTTATACCGGGGCAGAGCAAGTAGGTCAAGCACGTGCAGCCAATGAGCTACTTTGTTTTGCCCGCGATATTTATTACGGCTTCTACTTTTAACATTATGTGCTTTGGCACCCTTATTGCCCCAATATGTCTCTGTCAAAAAAGAGAAAAGTGGACGCAGAGTGCAGAGTGTTCCAAGAAAAATGGTCATCCTATTTATTCACGGAATTGAATGGGAAAGCTGTATGTTTGGTGTGTTGCAGTGCTGAAAGAATATAACCTTCGTCGCCACTATGTGAGTCTTCATGCCGACAAATATGACAACTTTCAAGGACAGCGGAGATGAGAGAAGGTGAATGAACTGTTGGCGGGTCTGAAGAAACAGCAGTCTGTGTTTACTCATAGCCGAGACATCAGTGACGCTGCAGTGAAAGCTAGCTACCTCATTGCTAATGAAATAGCAGTGGCTTCAAAACCATTTAGTGAGGGTGAATTTGTAAAAACATGCATGATGAAGGCAGCGGAGATTGTGTGCCCTGAAAAGCGGCAGGCTTTTGCAAATATCAGCCTGACAAGAAACACAGTTGCAGACAGGATTTCCGATCTTTCAGTGGATTTATTGCGTTTTCGGTTGCAATTGATGAAAGCACGGACATTACAGATGTTGCACAACTGGCCATTTTCATCCGCGGAGTTGATGACACATTGACCGTCACCGAGGAGTTCGTGGAGTTGGTGCCGATGACAGATACAACGACAGCAGCTGATATTTTTACCGCACTCGTCGGCGCGCTGGACAGGGTCGGAGTGGACTGGTCCCGCGCTGTCAGCCTGGCTACAGATGGTGCGCCCTCAATGATCGGGAAAAAAGCAGGCGTTGTGACAAAGTTCAGAGAGAAAGTGCAATCTGCAAATGGAGGACGTGGTTTTTTGACTTTTCACTGTATTTTGCACCAGGAGGCTTTGTGTTGCAAGTCATTAAAGATGGATAACGTCATGAAGGTGGTCATCCAAACTGTTAATTTCATCCGATCCAGAAGCCTGAATCACCGTCAGTTTGACAGCCTTCTCAGAGAGAAAGACCACATCTATGGCCTGCCATACCACACTGAGGTAAGATGGTTAAGCCGAGGTGCTGTGCTGAGGCGTTTCTTTGATTTACGAGAAGAAATTGAACAGTTCATGAAAGAAAAGGGCAAACCAGTGTTAGAATTTCATTCCGCAGAATGGATGCAGGACCTTGCATTTATGGTGGATGTTACAGAGCACCTGAATAACTTGAACAAACAGCTGCAAGGGCGCAACAAAGTTGTCACGCAGTATTATGACAGCATACATTCTTTCAAGTTGAAGCTGTCATTGTGGGAGACGCAACTTGCCGGTGGTGATGCAGCTCACTTCCCCTGTCTGAAAAATGTGTGCGCGACCCAACATGTGGCAGACATGAAGCGGTTCAAAGATAAAATAACGGGACTGTTACGGGAGTTTGAGCAACGCTTTCAGATTTATGTTTATATGTTTTTATGTTGATGTGCTATTGTTTTTAATTGATTTTATTTTATTTGTATATTTAACCTATTCTTGACTCTGTGGTTCTTGCACTTGTTTGGGGAACAGGATTTCATTATTTTTATCTACATTTCTGCCTGAGAAATGACACCCTGATTTAGTTCTGTGATCTGTGAAACAGTTCTGTTAATCACTGAGGCATTGTGTGTTTGTGTGTTCTTTGTCCTCAGAACTTTCAAATAACTTGAGGTGTTTTATGATTAATAGTGATGTTGTGCTTTTGGACACTGTCCTCAGGCTCCAGCTTTATGTTTATATGTTTTTATGTTGATGTGCTATTGTTTTTAATTGTTTTTATTTTATTTGTATATTTAACCTATTCTTGACTCTGTGGTTCTTGCACTTGTTTGGGGAACAGGATTTCATTATTTTTATCTACATTTCTGCCTGAGAAATGACACCCTGATATAGTTCTGTGATCTGTGAAACAGTTCTGTTAATCACTGAGGCATTGTGTGTTTGTGTGTTCTTTTTCTTTAGAATTTTCAAATAAACTTGACGTGTTTTATGATTAATAGTGATGTTGTGCTTGTACTATTTTGGACACACTGTCCTCAGGCTCCAGCTTTATGTTGTATGTTGATCGTATTAAAACAAAGAAAACAATCTGAAGTTGTTGTTTTTAAGTTATATATACCATGATTTTTCCGGTCCGGCCCACTTGGGAATAGATTTTCCTCCATGTGGCCCCTGAGCTAAAATGAGTTTGACACCCCTGGTCTACAACATCACTATGTCATCAGAGGGTTGATTACCTAGACGCTAGCAAGCCAGCGAGACAAGTTAAAATATCAAAAATAGAGCTAGATAAAGCCAGAAGAATAATATACTTGTTGAACATAGCCATCAGTCTTGCGTGTTTTCATGGTAATCACTCACTCACTGTTAAGTTTGTCAATGTCCCGACATCAGTGTTAGCTATCCTGCTACCGATGCACGTGCAGCACTCTAACTGGCTCTCTAGCCTTTCCCTAATTTGTGTGTGTGTGTGTTTGTCTGTATTAGGCTTGGACTCTGATGAGTCGTATGAAGGCATGTCAGAGGCCAGTTTTAAAGATGCCGTGGTGTACGACGGCACCCAGAGGAACAATGGTTCCTTGCCACAGGGGAATGGAATCAGGAAGCACAGGTACGCTAAGATTCCTGCTGTGTCCTCCACTCCGGGTCCTCTCTTTTTCTCTCCGTCCATTTCTTTCGCTTGTCGGTCTCTCTCGCACTCTCTTTCTCACACTATCGTAATCTGTCTCTTTCTGACTGCTCTTTCTCTCTGTTGTTCGCTCTCTCTCTCTTTCCCTCTACTGCCCCCCATCCCTTTCTCCCACATTCTTAATAGCTTTAACCCCGCAAGAATACTGGCCAGTCCACATGCTCCATTTATCTCTTACCCAGTCTGTCAGTCAGTATATGATAACACCGAACAGGTCAGCCTCTACAATCACATACTGTAGTAGTGATAGTCATCATAGTGATACTCACCTTCTCTGATTCTCTACAAGACACTAATATGTTGTCTCTGTGTGTTTTGTCTTTCTGTCTTATCCTTACATCTTTCAGGACAACGCTACCCACCCCAATGTTCTCCAGAAACAACTTCAGTGTGTGGGGCATTCTGAAGAAATGCATTGGACTGGTAAGGGCTACGGACCATATCTAAAGAATCACTTCATGATCACAAATCTATTTTTAGACCATGACATTCTCTGTCTCTACGCTAAAGAGTTTGAATTCATCCCACTTGTGTGAAGGTATTTTACATTCTAATCTTGCTTCTTTTCTGTGCGTGTGTGTGCGCGCACATGTGTAGGAGCTGTCCAAGATCACCATGCCCATTGTGTTCAATGAGCCCCTGAGCTTCCTCCAGCGGATCACTGAGTACATGGAGCACACATACCTCATCAACAAAGCCTGCTCGCTGTCCGACTCCATAGAGCGCATGCAGGTGAGAGCACACATACACACCGTAACAACAAAAGTCGCTTCCGATAACCCAGTTGGATGACTAAACAGTAACTGTGTGTGTGAGAGCCAGTGAATCCTGTGGCTGACTCCTCCCCTCCTGTCTTCCCAGGCGGTAGCTGCTTTTGCTGTGTCGGCCGTAGCATCACAGTGGGACAGAACTGGAAAGCCCTTCAACCCTCTGCTAGGAGAGACCTACGAGCTGACACGGTGAGGGGACAGGACTGCAACACTCCCATACAAAGTTGCATAGAGAGGTGTTGTAAAAAACTGTCTAGCTCTGGACTGTTCCTCCATGTCTCTGACTAGACTGCACACTGTATTGGCCTTTAAGCCTTTAATAGGACATCTTTACCTGCTTCCACCCATGAATTTAACAATAACACTGTTATGTTCCTCTGTTGACCTTATTTTCAATATGCTATGATAACAATCTGTGTCTCTTTTTTCCTCCTTCTGTCCTGCCTCTAATCTCTCCCCCCCCCCCCCCCCCCCCCATCTCTCTTTTCTCTCTTTTCTCTCTCTCTCTTTTCTCTCTCCCCCAGAGAGGACCAGGGCTACAGGCTGATCTCGGAGCAGGTCAGCCACCACCCCCCCGTCAGTGCCTTCCACGCTGAGAGCCTAGTCGGGGACTTCGTCTTCCACGGCTCCATCTACCCCAAACTCAAGTTCTGGGGCAAGAGTGTGGAGGCCGAGCCCAAGGGAACCATCACACTAGAACTCCTCAAGTGAGTCAAATCAATCCAATCAAATGTTATTTGTCACATGCACCGAATACAACAGGTGTAGACTTTACCGTGAAATGCTTATTTACGTGCCCTTTCTCAACAATGCAGAGTTAAAAAGTACAATTTTTTCCCCTTCTCACAAATAAGAAAATCAAATAAAAATAATAAGGATACAGTACCAGTCAAAAGTTTTAGAACACCTACTCATTCCAGGATCTTTCTTTATTTTTACTATTTTCTACATTGTAGAATAATAGCGAAGACATCAAAACTATGAAATAATACATGTAGTAACCAAAAGTGTTAAACAAATCTTTGCCTTGATGACAGCTTTGCACACTCTTGGCATTCTCTCAACCAGCTTCATGAGGTAGTCACCTGGATTGCATTTAAATTAACAGGTAGCAAAGGGTGGCTACTTTGAAGAATCTAAAATCTATAATATATTTTGATTTGTTTAACACTTTTTTTGGTTAATACATGATTCCATATGTGTTATTCCATAGATTTGATGTCTTCACTATTATTCTACAATGTAGAAAATAGTAAAAATAAAGAAAAATCCTGGAATGAGTAGGTGTGTCCAAACTTTTGACTGGTACTGTATATACAAGGACTACCGGTACCGAGTGAATGTGCAGGGGTACGAGGTAGTTGAGGTAATATGTACATGTACCTGTAGGTATGGGTAAAAGTGACTAGGCAATCAGGATAGATAATAAACCGAGTAGGAACAGCGTAAGTGAAGTGTGAACGTGTCTGTGTGTGTGTGTGGCGTCAATATGCATGTGTCTGTTTTGTTTGTGTGTGTGTGTGTGTGTGTGTGTGTTGGAGTGTCAGTGTAGTATGTGTGGGTAGAGTCCAGTGAGTGTGCATAGAGCCAATGCAAATAGTCCGGATAGCCATTTGATTAACTGTTCAGCAAACGTGTGTGTGAGAATCCATTGTGTCTATGTTTACTCCCCTTCTCCTCCCCAGGCACGGTGAGGTCTATACATGGACCAACCCTTTCTGCTGTGTACACAATGTCATCCTGGGTAAACTGTGGATTGAGCAGTATGGCACTGTGGAGATCCTCAACCACAGGTGAATATAGGAATGGCTATTTTGTTTACCTTAATTTACCTTCAATACTTTGTTTGGAAGCATACAAATGTGTATACAGTGTATTCGGCAAGTATTCAGACCCCTTTAATTTTTTTCACATTTTGTTACGTTACAGCCTTATTCTAAAATGGATTCAATAGTTTTTTCCCCTCATCACTCTACACACAATACCCCATAATGACAAAGCGAAAACAGGTTTTTAGAAATGTTTGCAAATGTATTAACAATAAAAAGAGACATACCTTATTTACATAAGTATTCAGACCCTTTGCTATGAGACTCGAAATTGAGCTTAGGTGCGTCCTGTTTCCATTTATCATCTTTGAGATGTTTCTACAACTTGATTGGAGTCCACCTGTGGTAAATTCAATTGATTGGACATGATTTGGAAAGGCACACGTCAGTCAATATAAGGTCCCACAGTTGACAGTGCTTGTCAGAGCAAAAACCAAGCCATGAGGTCGAAGGAATTGTCCATAGAGCTCCGAGACAGGATTGTGTCGAGGCACAGATCTGGGGAAGGGTAACAAAACATTTCTGCAGCATTGAAGGTCCCGAAGAACACAGTTGCCTCCATCATTCTTAAATGGAAGAAGTTTGGAACCACAAAGACTCTTCCTAGAGCTGGCCGTCCGGCCAAACTGAGCAATCGGGGGAGAAGGGCCTTGATCAGGGAGGTGACCAAGAACCCGATGGTCACTCTGACAGAGCTCCAGAGTTCCTCTGTGGAGATGGGAGAACCTTCCAGAAGGACAACCGTCTCTGCAGCACTCCACCAATCAGGCCTTTATGGTCGAGTGGCCAAGACGGAAGCCACTCCTCAGTAAAAGGCACATGACCAGCCCGCTTGGAGTTTGCCAAAAGGCACCTAAAGACTCTCAGACCATGAGAAACAAGATTCTCTGGTCTGATTAAACCAAGATTGAACTCTTTGGCCTGAATGCCAAGCGTCACATCTGGAGGAAACCTGGCACCATCCCTACGGTGAAGCATGGTGGTGGCAGCATCATCCTGTGGGGATGTTTTTCAGCAGCAGGGACTGGGAGACTAGTCAGGATCGGGGGAAAGATGAACGGAGCAAAGTACAGAGAGATCCTTGATGAAAACCTGCTCCAGAGCGCTCAGGACCTCAGACTGCAGCAAAGGTTCACCTTCCAACAGGACAACGACCCTAAGTACACAGCCAATTAGGGGTGTAACGATTCGTTTTAACAACGATTCGATTTGTATCACGATTCGTGGTTGTCGATACGATTCAAGGACGATATTGGTTCATTTAGAACGATACGATCCGAAACGATTCAGTGACTTGAAATCGATTCAGTAACCTTTTAGCCAAAAATTCTACCAGTGTGACTGAAATAAATACCTGGATACTGGACAGTGCAGGTGAAGTTTCCTAGATTCCTGTTTCTTGTAAGGACCGCAATGGTGGCTTGATAATTTCTCGCTCGTCGGCTTCTCCTCTGTCGTCCGCCATGCTATGTTTTGTTGTCGTTGCGCCTTTGCGCTGCTGCTGGCGCGGGGCGATGACGTCACGGATAGGCAGACTGAATCGAGTAATGTTTAAAGCCTTTATCATTAAAAGTGCTAAGAAAAAACATCCATATAAAGTCTGACGTGCTTAAATCCAATGGGTTATTTCCTAGTCCAATACAACGCAGGAGTGGCTTCGGGACTAGTCTCTGAATGTCCTTGAGTGGCCCAGCCAGAGCCCGGACTTGAACCCAATCGAACATCTCTGGAGAGACCTTTAAAATAGCTGTGCTGCAACGCTCCCCATCCAACCTGACAGAGCTTGAGAGTATCTGCAGAGAGGAATGGGAGAAACTCCCCAAATACAGGTGTGCCAAGCTTATAGCGTCATACCCAAGAAGACTCGAGGCTGTAATCACTGCCAAAGGTGCTTCAACAAAGTACTGAGTAAAAGTTCTGAATACTTATGTAAATGTTACATTTTCAGTTTTGTGTTTTTCATAAATTTGCAACAATTTCCAAAAAAATGTTTTTGCTTCGTCATTATAGGGTATTGTGTGTAGATTGATGAGGGAAAAAAACTATTTAATCAATTTTAGAATAAAGCTTTAACGTAACAAAATGTGGAAAAAGTCAAGGGGTCTGAATACTTTCTGAATGCACCACTTTCAGCAGAACAGACACGGGAAAATCCTAACTTCCACTTTAACAAAATGTTCACTTAATTATGCATTGATGGGTTAAGTCTTGTTCACACTGGCAGTTTGAAGTGACTCAGATCCAATTTTTTTGTGTTTCCGATTTGAATATGATCTTTTTCCTGTAGTCTGGACAGCCAAGAAGTTCATGGAATCAGATATTCTCAAGTCAGATTCAGATCACATTCACAGGTGATTTGAAATCAGATACATGGCCATGTGACTTGGCCATGTGACTTGTCTGAACAGTGAAATCTGATTTATTTGCCCTCAAGTGTTTTTTAGACTTATTTGGCATATCTTGTTACTTGCTAGCTACTCTGTTGACAGTTTGACAAGAACATGACGTGGTAGCTAACTAGCTTGTTAATTGTTTACAAACAAATGAGTGAATATGATAGCAAGCTGAACAGCTAGCTAGTTAGTTGACTCTTGTGGTTAGCCAAAAAGGACTCGTTTTGAAGTTGAAAGTTGGATCGTCTTATCCTTTGAGGCTTAAAAAAGTGTTCATACAGTCAAACAGTCAAAGCTACTGGGAAACGTCTATGGCAGGCATTGTTGTCACTTTCGCTTGCTACACAAGAACTTCTGAGCAAGAGGAAGCATGAGAACCACTGCACACACACCCCTGTCATTACCATGACAACTACCATAGCCATGTCAGCAAATGACTACAGTCTGAGCGCACGCAAATCCGATTTGGTCACTTGTAACTTGCTGTTTGGACAGTTAGTATTCCAAAACGGATTTGAAAAACAAAACTGATTTGAGCGTTAAGGACTGCATTGTCAACGAAGCTTAAGTGAAAATGTGACTTTTGTGGTAGTTAAGATTCGCCCCTAAAGACAGTAGTTGAGCTATAATGGTCTGGGAATGTATGGTTATTTCTTTTCTCCTCATTCTTCTCGTCTCTGTCTGTCCTGAGCAGGACTGGAGATAAGTGTGTGCTGAACTTCAAGTCATGTGGCATGTTTGGGAAGGAGCTGCACAAAGTGGAGGGCTACATTCAGGATAAGAGGTACAGAATGTGGAAGTATTGGCACTCTGATACACCACCTATGGCTTACTTCTCTGGTCCTGATTTCACTGGTCCAGTTTTAAGTGTTTTGGTGACATTTTTGGTGACACACTGCAATAACTTTTTACAATGGAAAGCATAATCTGTGTTTTTATTGGACGGAGTTTAACCTTTTATTGCAGTGGGCTAAATCAGGGTCACACAGAGTGTGACACACAATGATAACACGCCGTAATTCTCTGTCGGTGCTGCAGTATTTGGCTGCTGATGTCTCCACCCCTCTCTGTCCCTGGCAGTAAAAAGAAGCATTGTGTGATCTATGGGAAGTGGACTGAGTGCATGTGGAGCGTGGACCCCCAGACATACGAGGCCAACAAGAAGGCTGAGAAGAAGGGAGAGACTAAGAAGAAGAGTCAGGTAAGTGAGTCTCACAACATGGATGTCCTTTTGAAGAGTAACGTTATTTTTAAAGTAGATTGGGCCTTGTACAGTCGTGGTCGAAGGTTTTGAGAATGACACACATACTAATTTTCACAAAGTCTACTGCCTCAGTTTTGATGATGGCAATTTGCATATACTCCAGAATGTCATGAAGAGGGATCAGATGAATTGCAATTAATTGCAAAGTCCCTCTTTGCCATGAAAATGAACTTAATCCCAAAAAAACAATTTCCACTGCATTTCAGCCCTGCCACAAAAGAACCAGCTGCCATCATGTCAGTGATTCTCTCGTTAACACAGGTGAGAGTGTTGACGAGGACAAGGCTGGAGATCACTCTATCATGCTGATTGAGTTAGAATAACAGACTGGAAGCTTTAAAAGGAGGGTGGTGCTTGAAATCATTGTTCTTCCTCTGTTAACCATGGTTACCTGCAAGGAAACACGTGCCGTCATCATTGCTTTGCACAAAAAGGGCTTCACAGGCAAGGATATTGCTGCTAGTAAGATTGCACCTAAATCAACCATTTATCGGATCATCAAGAACTTCAAGGAGAGAGGTTCAATTGTTGTGAAGAAGGCGTCAGGGCACCCAAGAAAGTCCAGCAAGCACCAGGACCGTCTCCTAAAGTTGATTCAGCTGCGGGGCACCACCAATGCAGAGCTTGCTCAGGAATGGCAGCAGGCAGGTGTGAGTGTATTTGCACGCACAGTGAGGCGAATACTTTTGGAGGATGGCCTGGTGTCAAGAAGGGCAGCAAAGAAGCCACTTCTCTCCAGGAAAAACATCAGGGACAGACTGATATTGTGCAAAAGGTACAGGGATTGGATTGCTGAGGACTGGGGTAAAGTCATTTTCTCTGATGAATCCCCTTTCCGATTGTTTGGGGCATCCGGAAAACACCTTGTCCGGAGAAGACAAGGTGAGCGCTACCATCAGTCCTGTGTCATGCCAACAGTAAAGCATTCTGAGACCATTCATGTGTGGGGTTGCTTCTCAGCCAAGCGAGTGGGCTCACTCACAATTTTGCCTCAGAGAGCAACTTCTCCCAACCATCCAAGAACAGTTTGGTGACGACCAATGCCTTTTCCAGCATGATGGAGCACCTTGCCATAAGGCAAAAGTGATAACGAAGTGGCTCGGGGAACAAAATATCAAAACTTTGGGTCCATGGCCAGGAAACTCCCCAGACCTTAATCCCATTGAGAACTTGTGGTCGATCCTCAAGAGGCGGGTGGACAAACAAAAACCCACAAATTCTGACAAACTCCAAGCATTGATTATGCAAGAATGGGCTGCCATCAGTCAGGATGTGGCCCAGAAGTTAATTGACAGCATGCCAGGGCGGATTGCAGATGTCTTGAAAAAGAAGGGTCAACACTGCAAATATTGACTCTTTGCATAAACTTAATGTAATTGTCAATAAAAGCCTTTGACACTTATGGAATGCTTGTAATTATACTTCAGTATACTATAGTAACTTTGTGAAGACCAATACTTGTCATTCTCAAAACTTTTGACCACGACTGTAGTGTACATATTGTGTGTGTTTTTAATGTTTGTTGACTCATTGTAATACAACATTGACTTCTCTTGATAACTGTCCTCTGATTTTGATTTCCTGATGATTCTGGCAGCATGCCATCACATAATGTCAAGGTAAAAACGAGACAAGTAGTCTCGGTCTCTGTAGTAGTCTGTAGCTTGTATGTTATTACTATGTGTAGTGAACCTGTGAGAACATTATAGTGTACGTTCATTTCATAGTACAGTATTCTCTATGTAGTAGATATGGTATATTCATGGTACATGAAGTAGACTAATCCCTTGCTGAAGTCATTTCTGATGTTATTGCTTTATTCAGAAGGAAAATACACATATTTTATTAGATTTTGTAAGCAGTGCTATTTTTGTGTGTGTGTGCAGGAGGAGCCTGAGGGGGCAGACAACGATGATGCAGATGACATGCCTGAGGTCCAGGAGACAGTAGCTATGATCCCTGGCAGCACCCTGCTGTGGAGGATATCATCACGACCCCAACACTCTGCTAAGGTAACACACAAACACAGCTTAGCGTATACCCAACAGCATACACACATACACTCATACATTTTGGCATTCATTCTGTATAATATTGTTTTTACAGATGTATAACTTCACTAACTTTGCCATGTCGCTGAATGAGTTGGAGCCTGGCATGCAAGACCGCCTGGCCCCCACAGACTGCCGCCTGCGGCCCGACATCAGAGCCATGGAGAACGGAGACATGGGTAATGAAGTTTTATCTATTACATCCCCACAGCCTACATGATGCTGCCCTCTACCGTTCCTTTGGGGTGATGCATTCACATTTCCTTTTTGTGTTCAGGTTCCATTGTTGTTTTTTTGAGGGGGGTTAAGTATGTCAGTGCTTGCCACATATCCACACAGCCAAATTATTAGAGGCTGGTTTATTGAAACTAGTGTTAGGGTTGTGTATCAGCTTCTAACTACAGAAGAATACAGTGGTCAGGAGGACCATGAATATGCCCCAATACCCAATAGGTCATATAAGATCCACTGTTCTTGTATGTGCAGATGAAGCAAGTCGAGAGAAAGAGAGGCTGGAGGAGAAACAGAGGTCGGCACGGAAAGACCGTTCCAAGGACAAGGAGGAATGGTCCACTAGGTGACAACTGAGCGTCCTCGCATTTGAAGATTTTTAAAATTTTTGTAAAGTACTTGCAGAACAAAAAGGTCTACGGTGGTATATCTTTGAAAGTAAAACATAATAACCATAATCGTGTCTTATCGTGTCTTCCAGATGGTTCCAGTCAGGCACAAACCCCTACACGTCATCCCAGGACTGGCTCTACACAGGGGGCTACTTCGATAGGAATTACTCTGACCTCCCTGTTATCTACTGATCCAGGTGTGCTCCATGGGAACACCCCCCAACATCCACTCAGCCTCCCTTACACTCCTGCCAGTCCGCTGACACTCCTGTCCTAAGCACCACACAGTCTCCCATTGGAACTCTGAAGTGGCGATAGCCTCTCCTTGTATAACACAGGCATCTATGTGTTGTTAGCACAACCCTCCCCCGTCTTCTAACAGTTATGGAACAAACAGTTAAGGTGAAATCAGGGATGTGATGCTCCTTTGATCATTGGTTTGGAGATTCTTTGGGACATGTTGGAGGCATCAAAGGTGAAAGCAGAAAGGAACAGAAACGGAGTCTGGAGGAGACTGTGTTTTGTTCCTGAACAGGAGTGCTTTGTGGGTACCCCTCCCCTTACTCCCTATCAGACCTGGGTCGAATACCTATTTGAAATATTTGAAATATTTTAGTTTGATGTAACTTGCTTGGCATGGCGAGTTTGCACTTTTGGAACTATTCCATTGGTCCCATTGCACCTGACAAGCTAAACCAAGCGCACATGGAGTATTCCAACCAGGTCTGCCTGTCCCCTATACAGTGGTGGAAAAAGTACCCAATTGTCATACTTGAGTTAAAGTAAAGATACCTTAATAGAAAATGACTCAAGTAAAAGTCACCCAGTAACATACTACTTGAGTGAAAGTAAAAGTATTTGTTTTTAAATATACTTAAGTATCAAAGGTAAATGTAATTGCTAAAATATACTTAAGTATCAAAAGTAAAAGTATAAATAATTTCAAATTCCTTATTTTAAGCAAATCAGATGACACAATTTGATTTTTTTAATTACAGGTAGCCAGGGGCACACTCCAACACTCAGACATAATTTACAGATAGCCAGGGGCACACTCAGACATCATTTACAGATAGCCAGGGGCACACTCCAACACTCAGACATCATTTACAGATAGCCAGGGGCACACTCCAACACTCAGACATCAGTTACAGGTAGCCAGGGGCACACTCCAACACTCAGACATCATTTACAGGTAGCCAGGAGCACACTCCAACACTCAGACATCATTTACAGGTAGCCAGGGGCACACTCCAACACTCAGACATCATTTACAGGTAGCCAGGAGCAACCTCCAACACTCAGACATCATTTACAGGTAGCCAGGGGCACACTCCAACAATCAGACATCATTTACAGGTAGCCAGGGGCACACTCCAACACTCAGACATCATTTACAGGTAGCCAGGAGCACACTCCAACACTCAGACATCATTTACAGGTAGCCAGGGGCACACTCCAACACTCAGACATCATTTACAGGTAGCCAGGAGCAACCTCCAACACTCAGACATCATTTACAGGTAGCCAGGGGCACACTCCAACAATCAGACATCATTTACAGGTAGCCAGGGGCACACTCCAACACTCAGACATCATTTACAGATAGCCAGGGGCACACTCCAACACTCAGACATCATTTACAGGTAGCCAGGAGCACACTCAGACATCATTTACAGGTAGCCAGGAGCACACTCCAACACTCAGACATCATTTACAAACAAAGTGTTTGGGTTTAGTGAGTCCGCTAGATCAGAGACAGTAGGGATGACCAGGGATGTTCTCTTGATAAGTGTGTGAATTGGACCATTTTCCTGTCATTCAAAATGTAATAAGTACTTTCGGGTGTCAGGGAAAATGTATGGAGTAAAAAGTACATCATTTTCTTTAGGAATGTAGTAAAAGTTGAAACAAATATAAATAGTAAAGTACAGATACCCCAAAAAACTACTTAAGTAGTACTTTAAAGTATTTTTACTTAAGTACTTTACATCACTGCCCCTATATACATCCAGAGGTCGAGCTTCTCATCACTACCTGTAATGTAATTTATATGTGTAGATAAGAATAAGAGGAATGACCATTTGACCATTTGCCAATCACACACATGTATCTATACACGTTGGCCAGTGCTCAGTCTGTGAATACAGCCCGTCAGTCAGTCAGCCATTCTCCCATCACAAAATATCCCTTTGTTACTCTGCTGCATGGCTATTGGCTAGCTAGCTAACAGCGTTAGCGTCCCCTAGCTCTGTGGCAGTGGCCTACAGTACATTCAGCTGCCACTGTTTACCTAGTTAGTCAACTTAGTGTTAAAGTAATCATGAGTCATGAAAATAACAATTGCGGTTAATAAGATTATAAGAAGAGTAATTTGTCTGTTTGCAAGTGTGTATGAATGACTAATGATTTGTACAGAATCTAAAGCCATATGGTTCCTTTTAACTACAGGTATGACTGGCGAGGGTGGTTTGCTGTTCAGTCATTGGCTATGATTAAATTAATTGATAATTGTAACCTCAAGGACTAAATAATAGTTATCACTAGAGCTTGATAAAGCATCTAAATACCTACTTTATAAAATATAGCTAGCTAATCACCGTAAAACTGGCCTACCAGCTCAAAGTGAATTTGGAATTGATGGAATTATAACCGATATACAGTGAAGTCATTGTATAATATTATCAGCTTCCCTTGTAAGCATATTGTTGCCTTCCTTGTGTTAGGAGCTCTGTAGCTTTAAACCACACTCACATCACCAATCTCTTTCATAATGGTCAGCCATTATGTGTAAGTTGTTATTTATAAAAGACTGGCATTAAATCATTTTTAAACAGAAATATAATATATTTTTGGGGATTAATGTGCAGTTAATTGTACTGCGGTAAACATTACATTACATTGAAGCCTTGTAGATTAAGCCTACATGCATGAATCAAAGTGTAAGCCAATGTGCTTCTGCTCTGTAGGTCTTTAAAAGCAGCAAACTTTAGTGTCTGTTTAGTAAAACATGCCATGTTGACCATTGGGAATACTCTTCATGGGAATCCAAACAGAATCTCTTGAAGTGAAACAATAGTGAAACGTAGGGGGATTCAGTTTGGTTTCCCAGGATCCACTTTATTCCCTGCACTACAAACTGGCCTACTCTCCTGAACCACACTGCATTTGAAATGACCGCCAAAATCTATACAACCAACCAATAGCTCTGAGTGTCTCTGCGTACTTTAGTTTTGTCACCGGCAGCCAAACCGACATTTAGATGACTGTATTGGCAGCTTATTTGACTGTAGATGAACCCATCTCATAAGTGATTGTTTGAAATTGGTCTGTGGATCACCATGGTAGTCTGTTTTATAAAGTATTATAAAGATGAATTTACAGTTTAGAGCAATTTGATCTTGACTGAATATTGCTATCACAAATGTCTTCGTTTTTGTGGAATTGCTGGGGGTTGGAGAAATGGGTAACACAATGTGGCAAAAAGACATGACAAACCAAGAAGCATTTGATCATGTCCTATCTTGATTGATCGTTTTTTCCATGGTTATACTAGTGCCTACATTTTTAAGGCTTAGATTCAATCAGATCAAGCATTAACCGGCGATAGCAGACACCCACATAGCTGATGTTTTGGTGGTGTCTGAGGTGTAACTGGGTTGGAGCTGTCAAATCGGTGAGCAGCTGCTCTTGATCATTGTCATGAAGCCACATGTCCCACTCGCGTTAGAAGTTCAGAAGGAGAAAGTGTAGGCTATATAGAAATAATGACACTCAAATTGAAAATTATTAAACAAAAAAAATAAAAATGTCTGTAAGCCTAATGGAGGTGTAGTTTATATCTCACATTCCAGTGTTTTAACTTGTAAACAAGGCTGCATGAGATTTCTCTTAATGTGACTCCGTGCAGCCAATGGCAAAGTCCACCAGGAGCCACTTGGGGATTTGACAGCTCTTACGCAGTTCTACCTCTAACACTGCCAAAACAACCACCATGCGGATGTCTGCTATAACGGATCTGATTGAATAGAGCCCTCAGTAAACTGATTTTCCAATTCCTTTTTTTTTTTTTTTTTCTGTATTTCATTTAATATTTAAGATGTTTTTAGGTTTATCAGTCAAATGTTTTTGACATTTGTTTTTCTAACCCATCTCTCTATGTAGTACTTTATTATTGTCAGTAACACTTTGAAATGTTTAGGTCTCAGCAGAAGTGTCTTTTCACCATATGTACAGGAAATGTATGCAAAACTGATCACACTGCTTCTGGTTATATCCACACACTTCATCACTGTTTCATCAAATGCTAATTTCTTAACTAGCATCTTAAGACTAATGTACCAACATTAAAAAAGTAGATTTTATCTTGTGTTGTGTGTTGTTTATTTGTATAATAGCTTATGTAAGTTGCGTTTTTAACATTTTGAAAATCCTCTTGACTGTATGTAAATATATGTTCTTATGCCCTGTGTCTCACATAGATGTTTAGTACAGTAGAATCACAAGCCAGTAGCATATTATTTTGTGCAATTGATTTATTTTTCTAGTATTTAAACAAACCTTTTGGGATAACATTATTCCAGATGTTTTATTTTGAGGTGAAAGTTTTAATGGGTCATTTCTGTAATTTGGGCAGCTTACTAGTTTATGGGGAAAATTTAATGAAATCTTAGTTTAACAACATGCTTTTTTCTAGAAAAATAATATTGTTGACCATTGGGTTTCTAATTAGATGTTCACTTAGGGCTGGATTCAATCTGTGTCGCGGAAGATCCGCGTTATAGCTCAATTTAAATTTAAAGGCAATGTTCCCTCGTTCGCAGATACTGCATTCACAGTAAATGCTGTATGTCGGCTCAATCGGAAATCACCTTTACATTTTTATGCGGCTCTTCTGTTTGAATCCAGACCTTAATTCTTATATTTTTTTCCATTTAAAATCAAGTTTAATCTATGCCCCTGCCATTTAAACATGATCATTGTGGTAAAGTATGGAGGAAGGGAAAGCTTTTCTCAAAAGAATGGCCAGTATGATTTTTATGGACTCTAAATACGGTTGTACTGTATGTTGTCAGAAAAGACTCCCCCTCACTCCATACATTAGCATTTATACTGTACGCCACCAACTCAGTCTGACTGTGTGCATTTGTCTATGGAGAAGCAGCAGAGACAGTGACCATGATATGCGTTCTCTCACTCATAAGCCCCGTTTATACCTGGTGCTAACATGCAACCTTTGTCCTGATCCTGTCCACATTCTGATTGTGCCCACATTTTCAGAAATATGTCTACACATTGTATGAAAATGGGTCTCATATCCGTCCGCATTGTGACCAGATCTCCTGGCCCCTCCCTGTATTTAAATTATTTGACCTCTATTCTTTCAAAATAATTTTTATTTTAAGACATTAATGCCATAAGTCAATAGTGTCACCTGTTAATGATTTTAGAAGGCGGGATAATGATGATTTAAATGGTTTCTCTGTCCAGATCCGTCTAGGCTGCGTTTACACAGGCAGCCCAATTCTGATCTTTTTTCCACTAATTGGTCTTTTGACCAACCACATCAGATCTTTTCATATCAGATCTTTTTCAGAG